TTTTTTAAATTTTAAAAACTGGTTTTCGAATTTTACAAATTTATCCAAAAAACCGGTTTTTAAAAACTGACTAACCCTATTGTTCTGTAACTTTGATAAAGTTTGCCATTTAAGGATTTCTGTATGTGCATTTTACAGGTGACTCCACAGGCACCTGAGTTTGTGCCAGCAGCAGGAGGTGGAGGAACAGCTGGTAACACAGTAGCAGGAAATGGTTCCCCTGATTTCCTCAACTCATTCACTGGCTTGTCAAGTTCAGGGGGCCCCCAGGCAACATTTGGTAGCAGGCGTAGCAGTCTAGAGAGTCCTCTATCTGCATCTCCACGATTGACACCCCAGCCTTCACCTCCACTCAGCAACTGTTCACCTACTCCTACACTTGACAAAACACCCATAACCCCTGTGTCAACTTACCAGGTACAGATATTTCGGTATAAATGTTGTGAGATGATCACATTTTTATCATTGATTTTGTAATTATGTATTCTTTGCCATTATTCATATCATACCTGTACCATAATTCCATCAGACAAAATTTGAAAAAGTAAATTAAAAAGCAAACATCCATCATATTTCATGCATCCTCATTTTTTATTGTGAAATTTATAACATATATAAATCTACACATATATTAGACATTCTGTTTGTATGTATCAAAGATGGTGGCAGTAAAGGAGTTAATCGTCAGAGTCTGAAAGGTTTAATGGTTGAATATTAACTATAAAGTGAGCATATGAATACAGTGAATGGGAGAACTTTTTGTGCACTGGGTTTCGACAGGAATCATTCTCTGTTATTGCTGCATGTCACAAGATTTTCTGTGTAATCTTGTAGGCATTAGAATATTACGGAGACTTGGTGCTCATCATAGAAATGTGGTGGGTATAACATGAAGTATAAATGAAAAAGAAAGTTTTGTTACCATTTTACTTTTTGTAGTACATATTTATATTTTCAGAGATTACTTTTTGTGCATAGTATAAACAGCGATGTTTTCCATTGCACACCATTTTTATCAAGCCTTATTTTTATCTTATCCAAGTCTGATCACAGCATTTGGGATGAATATTTGAATAATGCAATGAAATTTAGGAAGAAAATTTGTCTTCAAAGTAACATAATGCAGTGCATCCACTTTCAAAGTTAAATGGAACTGTCTCTTCCTGTTTCCCAGCAGGAACTGTATGTCCATGTGGTACAAGATTTTCCCAATACCGTTCAAATATCACTACAGAAAATGCTGTTTCTGTACAAGCACACACTCATTATACCATTTAAACACTTTTCAGTTCACTCAGAGAAGTTCTTTCTGAGGAATGTCCAAAATTTCTCATTGTATATTTTCCTCCAACTCATCTTCCGTATGAGGGTTCCTTCTCTAGACTTTGTCGTTAAAATTACCCCATAAATAAACGTCATGTAGGGTAAGATGATTCTAGTTGTGAATTTAAAAATGTAATGAATGGCTGGTACTGAACTTCTCAGCTTTGTATGCAATAATGCTTAATGTTTGGATACACAGGAGAATGTTGGCGGCACGACATACTTCTATCCAACAACTGTGGCAGTAGCTGGAGCTGCAGGTGGAGGAGAGGCAGCAGGCCTAAATAGCAGTGGTATGAGCTCAGGCAGCTCGGTGGTTCCCTCGGTAGTATTGCCCAGCTTTCACGTTTATCCTGGCACTCCTACACACCTGGCCTCAATTAAAGGGAAATCTACTACACCTGCAGCTGCATTTTATGTGGCAAATGAAATACGTATGGAAACATTGCACAGGAATGCTCTTGTTCTTGCCCAGCCAGACCCAGAACAATTCCCAGGTCAGTTTGGCTTGTTTTAGTAACCTTCATCCTTCTCACATGTAACAAGTTTCATTATCAGCCAAGTGAGACGATACCATTATGCAGTTCAGTGTTATAATTTTTATCATCTTTATTTGCTTCTCTCCATTTTTCTCTGCCTAATCTGCTTGTTGTTTCATTATTTTGACACTGGATCTTTTAACATTTGCAACTTTTTTTAAGGTTTTTATATTATTCTTGTGGACTGTGAAACGTGGTAATTGTTAATTTATTTTATATATAGTATTTTTTATAACATTGAACCATTAGAGTTAAGCATATGAAACTTTGTGTGGAGACATGTTATAAATATTGCAATTTTTTTAAATATGTTTAGATGTGTTAACAATTAATAACACACATGGTGAAATATTCTGGAAAATGTAATGTAATTTGGAACTGTGGTAGTAGAAATTGAGCATAAAAGTAGATCAGCATATTTTATAATGTTATTTATATTTGGTTTTTGAATTGTGTTATGGATTAAAGCCTTTTAAGAGATGTTGGTATCAGGATTCCTTCCCATATATTCTTTGTGTATGTTCTCACAGACTTAGAAATTATGCTTACAGAATTACCGAGTGAGATTGACAACTATCATGAGTTGTGCCCACTGAAACCAGTTCCATCAAATTCCATGCACAAAAGCCAGCTGCTGGGTTATCCCATGTCCACATACAAGGCTACCAACACTAAGACTGGAGCTCGGTATTGCCTGCGCAGAGTGCATGGTGAGGAACACTGTTTGTCTTGAGGAGAAGAATTCCACGAATAGGAAGGTGGTAGAAAGTTCTTACAGTACAAAGTTTTATTATATTTGTGTAGTCTCTAACATGTCGAGAACCTACATGTTTCTCACTGTCAGTTTTTAAGAAAAACATCTTCTTCCTGAAAGAATAACTCTTCATCTACGTGAGTACGTGAATGAATTAAAAACTGTTATACGGGAATGTTCAACATTTATTACTATTCCCTTCACTTATATCATAAGTGTGTGGTCACTATTACCAAACATAACCTATCTTTTCTCATTTCTTGTGTTTGTGATATATGATTCTTTTCTCTTACTAAAACAGTCTTACTGTTTGTATTGTGTAGCAATTCAAGATTTGCTGTTCCTATTATCACATTTGTTTCAAGATATTTACAAGAACCCAGCATGAAAGGAACTTCAATAATGCATATATGGATTTACCATGATTTATTTCAGACCATGAACTGTACTGTTTGTAACATTTCAAATTTTTCTGCTGACTGATATATTTTACTTTCAAATTGTGAATTATTCCAATTACATTTTGTTCACTGATGATGAAGTTTGAACAGAAAGGCTTCTCGTTTTATCATGAGCTGAAGCTATGGTCTGCATGATGAAATCAGAAGTTAAGCTGCAAATTTTAAAATGATTTATTCATGAATATAGAAAACTTTTAGGTCAATGCTTATGAAAAAACTAAGCATGACAGTGAAAATTTTAGGTGCTCTAAAGACTTGGTACCTGAGATTTGTTGAGCTTTGTTTATATTGGCATTTAATGTTAGAGGAGTAATTATAAAATGAGTACAGTTTACCTATATTGTCAGTATTATCACGTCTAAATTCCCACTCTCTTATATGGTAGTCAGCCAGTTTATCAGTTTATGAGGCAGACATTCATTTTTATTTCAGGATTTCGTCTGCCCAATACGAAGTGCATGTTTCTGGTTGATATGTGGAAGCATCTGCAACATTCCAACATTGTTCAGTTACGGGAAGTTTTTACAACTAAGGCTTTTGGAGATTACTGTAAGTATGTTTTCTGGTTTAAATAAACAGACTGCAATACTTGTAGGGAATGATGAACATAGGCCACCATTATTTACAGTAGCTTGTGAAGTACGTTTTCTGAAGTGGTAGAAGAAAGCAAACAAGGACAATAACGTTTTTAATACCATATTTGAAACTACAGAGAGACTAGGTTAGCATTATCTTGTAAACATTGGTGTTCTTGGTATGATACCCAGTCAGATCTGTGTGCAGACTTTTCTGCTCAGACAGAAGTTTCAACCTCTGCATAAGGTAAGACTTTTTGAGAAAGTGAAGTATACCAGACCTTCACCATGGTTTGAAGCTCACAATAAATTATAGGTCTCTCTTGTCAGCTATCTTCTTCATAATGACCCTGTCACGGGTAATACAATCTACCTTATGGGTACCTTCACCACATAAATGGATTATAATCCTTCTTAAGGTTGGCAGAGGCCAGGATAGGTCTTCATACCAAACCCTGTGGGAATTAGAATATACCAACCAACCACTACAGTAACTCCGTATGATGCTATAAGGGCCTCCCGCCATCCTAACCTATGGTTGGAACTAGTTTTTTAACTTTCCTTCATTTGTGGTAACCATAATTTTAAAATAATGCCATCTTTTTAGGCATTTATTTATTTGTTTATTGCAGCAATGATATTTGTGTATGACTATCATCCGGGTTCAGAGACGTTGCTGATGAAGCACTTCACACCTTCGGAGCCACTGAATGGATATGCAGATCCTTTCTCTGCTGATCCAACTGCACCACGTCCATACAGTCACCAAAAGAATGCCCTTTTAAGGCAACAGCATGGAGGTGGCAGTGGGATGCTCCCTGAAGGTGTCATCTGGAATTACATCATCCAGCTAACATCTGCCCTCCGAGTGATTCATGCAGCTGGTCTTGCATGTCGAACTCTTGATCCCACCAAAATACTGTTAACAGGACGCTCTCGCCTCCGTCTCAGTAGTCTTGCCATCTCTGACGTTCTCACCTTTGACACCACCTCTCCAAACCCCTTGCAGCTCATACCACATTTTCAGGTACTTACACAATCTTATATAAATGTATATTCTCAGTTATTGTCTTTGTGTAATAGGGATGGGATATTCAAAGTCAATAATATTTCATATAAAGTACTGTAACTTGTGAGAGGTAAAAGACAACTCATAGTATAAGGTTTGGCGTTTTCGTGGCGGTAAAAATTAGATCGTGGTCCTGGGTTACTGCCTGGAAGACTACAAGGCATCATAACTCTTGACCACAATCAGAGTGCATAATCTTTGCTATATCTGTTTGCTACTTTGGAACCTCTTAAATAATAAAACACTGGTAAATGACATATGGAACATATACTTTGCGTACTGTAGTTAGACCATCCCTGGTACCTCTTGAGTATACTAAAAATTTATTGAAACGATTTTCATTGTTCTGTGCAGCAAGAAGATCTGACAGCTCTTGGGAAGGTGATCCTGGCACTTGCTTGCCGATCACTCATGGCAGTGCAGCGTGAAAACATGCAGACATCATTGGACCTGGTGGCCCGCACATACTCAAATGACTTGCGAAACGTCATCATGTATGTAGCAACATGTTACGTACAGACTGCATATGTTGGTTAATTAATCAGAAATTTACTCAAAGGAAGAATGAGGAACTTATTTAAGAGCTTGTACTTTTATGTACATAAGTGCTTTGTGTTTGAGTACTAACATTTAATTACATGTAAAAATTTAAGAAGAAATAACGGTGAATCAGTAGAGTTAGGGAATGTTACTATACTGTAAACTATGTTGTTTGGAACTGGGGAGGTTTTAGGATAAATTAAATTTAATGTTATATAAAGCATATTACTTGCCTTCTTCCGTATGTTGGGCAGAAGCTTAGACATGGACCAAAAGATGGAATGGCAGAAATGAGTTTCTTCAAAGTGTAGGAAGGGAACTAACTTAGGAAAGAAGGGAATATGATGTGTAGATTTATGGCAGATGATGAAAGCTTTGTTATAGGATGACCCATCAAGGTGGAAATGTCATTTGGTGATGATGAAAAAAATTGGCTTGTGATGGTGGTATGTCTTATTTTATTTTCCAATATTACTTGGTCAATTTTATGTTCTCATTAGCTTAGATTGTGTAATGTGATGGTTAGTGAATGATAAATTTGGAACTGATGTGGAAGGAAGCAGTCATGGTCTATCTTACAGTTCTTTCTCAACATTTGCCTAGATGGACTCTGGATAACCATGGAAACCTAGGTTAGAATAGCTGGCCTTCAGGTAAAATTTTAAACTCAGAATCTCACAAACCTGAAGCAGGAATACTAGCCACTCGATTGCAGTATTCACTATGATGGTGTGTTGCATTAAGATATTATTATGTGTTTTCCTTCTTGTTTGTAGGTATTTGTTGACCAACCAGCAGCAACAGCAGCACAAGAGTGTGACAGACCTCATGCCTATGATTGGTGCGCGATTTTACACTCAGTTGGATGCTATTCAGATCCGATCAGATGTGCTAGAGAATGAAATATCCAAGGAGATGGAGAATGGTCGCTTATGTAGGCTCCTGGTTAAACTTGGAACTGTTAATGAACGTCCAGAGTAAGTATGCTGATAATATGAACTGCATGAATGAACTAATACAACATAATAAATTCACTCTATAAAAGAGGAGGAAAAGGGTTACACATTTGCCAACCTTTTACTGTATATGATAATTTTTGGAATCTTAAACTTCCAATTACATTTACAAACCAAGTAGGATTTGATTTGTCATATCACACAAATGCCATTGTTATTTACAGGTTGAATCTGGATCCAACATGGGCGGAGACTGGAGATCGTTACATGCTCAAGCTCTTCCGTGATTACCTGTTTCATCAGGTTTCAGAAGATGGGCGACCATGGCTTGACATGTCACACGTTGTGCAATGCCTTAATAAACTGGATACAGCTGCTCCAGAGAAGGTGATGTTGAGCTGCTTAGAGAACTGCAGTGTACTCACATTTCCTAATTGTGGCAATCAGTTTGAAAGGAAACATGTAATGTGATGAAGATCAATCAAGTGAAAAATAGTAGTCCAGTGAGATTCTTTCTTTCTCTCTCTCCCCCCTTTCCAGTATCTCACATTGTACAGAATTATTAGAATAATTATTAATGCATGATCATGGAAGATTAGTTGTTCTATAATTAGAATTTTATGTATATGATTATCACTTTGTATGTTACTTTTAGGGTGTGATTTGTCTACATCTGGAGTTTGAATGTTTGGTAAGATTTTGTGTGTAATTTATTACAGTGATAGTCTTTATTAATTACCTCAGTCAGTTTCTGTTGAGCTACTTATAATATAATGCAATAATAGATTCCTTCCACTGCTTTTACAGTTTTTTAAGCTATTCAGGGGAAATAAAATTCAAAATGGATACTGAACAGTGTATTGTCATTATATTTTTCTTCTTATATTTTCTTGCAAATAACTGAAGGGTATCTACTGAGGAAAGGATATAATTGTATGTATTTACATGATTTGATACAAATCATTTACCAAAGTTTGTTTGATTCTTATAATAAAAATGTTGTATCTGGTCTTTGCACTGCCTACAGATATGCCTCATGTCTCGAGATGAACAGAGCATCCTTGTGGTGAGCTACGCAGAACTGAAGCACTGTTTGGAGCAGTCATTTGAGGAGATCCTCAATGCAGCCACAAAGCGAGATCAGATAGCGTAGTCAGTGACAGTCAGCTACCACCTCTTCTGTAGTAGAAGCGCTGCCCTTCATGCATCATAGTTGCTCCCTTTGTAGAATGGCATAGCTCATCCCTGACTGGACTGACAAATTGCAGAGAAGGATGATGGGAGACTATGCATGTGTGTTATTGTGTATATGTGTGTATGTTAGGCAAAATTTCCCCCCTTGTACATTGTGTATGATGATATACTGGATATTTTTCTTCCTTTTATGCTGGATCATTACCAGTAAGTGGTTCTGTTGAATGGCTGCAAGTAAGTGCGTCAGTGGTGCCATCGTTGCTGCTTCTTCAGACATGTATATAACTGCCCTCCAGGGTGCTTCCTCCAGGTATCAAGTAAGATATCTCTCGTTAGAGCACCAGCAAAGAAACAAAATTTGTTGTCTTTATTTTTATTTTATTATTTTTTTATTTTCAAATATCACTTTTCAGATGAGAAGTGTGGTATTTATGTGATCATAGCTTATTGATTTGTAATATATTACAGATGGTATGCTATTGAGTCTTTCATCTGGGGAGGAAGTGGGGCAAGTACCGAGTCTTCCAAGACTTCTGCAGTTTGCCTCGCGCAAAGTTATAATGAGGCTTCTTATTTTAAGGAGGGTTTTTTATGTGAAGATATTGTTTCACAATTGTACATGTTTGCAAACTAAGCTCAACTGGTGCAGAGGACACGTACCCTATTGTGTATTGAGTGTATTTTTTTCTAAATATATATTTTTTCGTAGTGGTGAATTAAAAGTGGTTTCTGTGGGTGAAGCACAAAAATGCACCAAAGGTTGTAAGGTAGCCACCAAGAGGCTGACATGCTTGCAATTGCTTATGTGTTCCAGTTTTCAAATGACAGACAAGTGTAAATGAATCTTGATTTCCTCCTGAGTGCTACACAGCTGTGTGAAATGCTTGGCAACTGCTTCTCCAACCCAGCTGGATGGTGGTGATTGTTACAAGGAGGAGATGTATCCTTTACATTCCCATTGATGCTGCTTAGCTTGAATACAGTAAGATAAACATATAGCCTTCTGTCATTGCTGCTGCATATTTCAGGTTTTTGTATTGTCCTGAGGCACAAGCTGCAAGACAATTTTATCACCATCTGCTTCACTATGGTGGCACAAATCTATCTTTCGAGTAGATAATCATGGTATTTCCTGCTTAAGAAATATCTGGTGAACACTTCTACCATATATTGTTTATTATTCAAGGAAGATATGGCATTTCAATAGCAACATTTTCATTTCGTTTAGTCCGGCTTTGTTGCGTCAAATCAGTCTTCATGTACTGTATGTGAGAATGCCTAAGTGAATACATATATTCACTCACATGAAGGAGACAATTGAAGGATAAAGTTCTGGATCTACAGTGAAACAACACTAGTATCAGCCTGCTAAGTTACATTTGAAAAATGTATGCAGAGTGTGAGAAGGCAGGATGCAGCAGGTGTAAGATACTAGGGTAATTACATATGTGATATCTAAAGCATTAGTACAACATTATTTTCCATCCACTTGTGAATATGGCAGACATGATTCAGCTGAATTTGTTAGAAGTGCAAGTATAAAGTACTTCCTTGTTACACTCTGCACAGTGCCTGCAACTTCTAGAGCATGTTGTCTTCCAACTGTGTGTGTCCTGCTCGTTGGCACCAAGCATTCAGGTGGTTGGTCATGGTGACACTGGGCTGCTTTGGTCTAGTCTCATATGTATATATAGATATACACACACTTAGATTCAGTTATCATAAATTTAGTTGTATGAGTACTGAAATTGTGTGGTATAAAGTAAGTGACAGGATAGAATACCAAACTGTAATATTCCCTGGGTAAAGATAACAAAATTGAGTTCGCTAACAAGGGACTCTGAAACATGAGACCTATTCCTGCATTAATGTTTGCCCATGCCATGCACTTTTTAATCCTTTTCTGCATGTTGCAAAAGAAATTTAAAGCCACCAACTTTATTGGTGAGTGCTCAAATAGAGCCAGATTATAGTAATATGTGCAAATTTAACTACTGTTATGCTGTCATTAAAATAAGCTCATATGTTGCAAAGTTGTTAGTCCACCCTGAAATCCATATTTATTGGAAGAGATTGCATTTCATTCTGTAGAGTTGTATTGAAATGTGAATGTTGTGTTTTGAAATTATACTACTATATGAAAATCTTATTAACAGATTGTTTGGCAGACATAGACTTCATTTGAAATTTGGTTCATTTAAAAAGTGAACTGGAAGAAACTGTGCCAGTTTTATTCTGTTTCCATGACAATTTAAAACTGGATTCACATACCTTTTGTGCTTGGAAAGAATGGCTTAAGTTAATGGAGATATGTTTGACTTAGGCTCTTGTTACTGAACATCTAATATGTTGTCATTTTAGAAGACATCCATGATGTAGGAGGTTCTAGTTTATTAATTAATCCTTAGAATGTTTCAGTAACTTTTAATACAGTTTTCTCATCAATAAAATTATTGATAAATAGACAAATCAAGCAATATGGTAATTTATTGAATTATAAAGATTGATATTATTTAGTGTTTAACATTTATAACAAAACCTAATATTCTTATTTGTATCAAATGGTTTTGGTATGCTCAGCTTATTAAGAGAAGTACAAACTACTGACTTTAAGGACCTAAGTCACATTTATTATTGTAATATATGCACTACGTGTTACAGTATTGTGTAGCGAATCTTTGATAATTCTAATAGAATATTGATGCATATTGGCATTTTTTATCACTTTCAGAAAACTTGTGGTATTATGAAAATGTACCATGTGAAGTTTCAGATTCTCATGGTAAAGAGTATGGAGATGGCTGTGTTCTGGGTTGTTTTGTAGTCTAGTAGATATTAACTGACATTTCAGAGGATCTTACTGCCTCCATCATCACTCTGATAATGGAGGCAGTAAACTCTTCGGAAACATTGGTCAATATATCTCAAGCTATATAACCCAACATTTCAGAAGACAGCCATCTTAAAAATGTACCATATTTATTATTTAACCAAGAAAATTATCATATTGCTGTATCGAAGTGTTTGTACACATTCCAGCATTGGAATTTGTTGTATTAGGCAAGATGTCTGTGTAATTATGAGATTAGACATAATATAGCCCAAAATGCGCCATGCTCAGGTTGTACAGGATGTGTTCAGAAACTGATCAGTGAACAGTGTATTATTATGATAGACATTATGCAATAATCTGTGATGACCAGAAAAAGAGAGCGAGAGAGAGCTCATGCTTGCAAAGGTACATATCCTAGCAAATGTGTGTGTTATGAAGACAGTGCAGCAGATGGAGATTCTGGGCGGAGCTCAGTTCAACAAGGCAACATTTTATAGGTTCCAACCTTAGTTTCCCTCTTACATTGTTTAAAAATTTCTGCCATGTTTTGCACAGTGTTGCCATTGCCTTGAATTTACCTTGTTGAACAAATAGAATATATGATTATTTTTCTTATCATTCAGTAACTTACATGTTTTTGTCACTTGGAATGTTTGACAGTACATCAGCTGATCCTTTGATCTGTTCTTTTTATATAAATTATCTACAACATAGATGATTTTTAAAGCTAGTTGTTCTAATTTTTTTCTTGACAATAGAAATGCATCCCTACCTACTGTATAGCATTAAAACTTGTGAGAACGATTTCAGTAGGAAGCATTGCTGTAATGGTTTTAGTTACTTTTATGATCAGTTAAAATGTAGTTTTATTTAATTGTTGTTGAAACACAACAAAAGTGATGGATAGTCACAGGAAGGTCAGATAATACATATTGTTTGTTTTGTGCAATGCTGTAATTTCACACAGCTCAATCAGTTGACTATAGATATTTGAATTTGTTTTGATGTGGGATGTGTGTGTGAATCAGCGTGCAAAGGAATGCTTGTATTATTCTGGTTATGTTTTCAGATCATGTTGGACATTTTCTCACAGTATGGTCATGGGAATTCATCCATCCATTGCTTGGATAATTAGATAAGTATTTGTACAATACAAACTAAAAGTTTGTATTAAATTGTATAGGGCAGTGATGTCTTATAATTGCCTGATTGCCTTCCCTTAAAAATGGCTTATCCAGACTTAAGTTCCTTTAAACACTGTCTTTGCAACACACATACAAGTGACCATATATACACATCAGGAAGTTGTGACTTGGCCTAACTAAAGCTTAGCTGCCTCGGGACCAGGACAATCAATCCACAAACTCTACTGAATTTTTAAAACAGTATGTGAAGTGTCTTTCTTCCATGAAGGAAATAGGTACTTTGAACATATTGAGTGTCAGAGGAAGAATGAATCTGCAATAAAAAACCTAATTGAGATTTGAGTTGATGTTTTCCATTATGGCCAGTGTGGAATAAGAATACAATTTGTTGATATTAATTTTATGATTGTTTTGAGCTTCGAATTCCATGCAGGAATTATTGTGTTGACAGAATTCAGTTAAAGGTAACACATCTAACTGCTACTCTTGAAGCTTACAAATGATGGATATTTCGAACTGGACTGAGAAGGGAGAGGAAGAGTACATATCTATGTCCACCATCCAGCTGTGGAATTTTAAATGTCAAGCTTTTGTTTTTAAGGTAATTGTAATTGAATTACTTTCATTGCTAAATTTATAATTTATTAGCATGATAAAAATGTTGAAAACACAAAGATAAGTAAATTGTTTATACTAGATCATTATACTGTGTAGCTGAAGAAAAAGTATATAGCAGAGAACAATTGAACTTATAACAGAAGGTGTTTTTTCTGTGTATTGAATGGGCACTTAACAATGACAGTCCTTTTGCAAAATTAGTTTCATTTCACCAAATTAACAAATCTTTCTTTATAAGATTTTGGGTTTCCACAGTGATTCATATATAATTTTATTTTAATATCTTCCACTGTAATGCAGCATGAGAACCTAAAACAATGTACCTAAAAAGCCTTTAATTCATTTGAGTATGTAAAACCTTTTCACACATCCATGCAATTGTCCATGTAATTATATGTAGGTACATGTGCTCACACATACTGTTTTACTGGGTTTAACAAACTCACCTGTCTGCTTGTTTGTGATGAGTGATAAATTTAAAAATCAAAGCCAGTGAGTTAAAAGAATCTTTGTTTTTTCTCCACAGGTGCCGAACATTAAATTTGTAACTGGTATGGGCATGTGGGCTATAGATAAAGAGTAGAGCAAAGTGCAGTTTTCAGGTTAACATTTATCTCTATATTAATGATCCATTACATTTCTCATTTAGGCTGTTTTGACATGTGAGATGCTAAAAGCTGCTGATAAGAGTAACTCATCTCTATCCTGTGCAACTCAGTTACACTTAATTGTTTGCTAATAACAATTGTTCACAGTGTTTTGTAGTGTATGTGATATTAATTAGGCTGATTGGAAACATTTACACTAGCATGGGTAGGCATTGTTACACTTGTGGAGGAAATGTCTGACAAGTAGAAATTTTGTCTGATTAGCTAACTGAGCCAACATTTGACTTTAGTGTATGTGTGTGTGTGTGCGCGCACACATGCATGTGTATGTATATATAATTTTTGTGGGTTGTATGTTATGTGTGCCTAAAATTAACCATTTCAGATCAGCAGAGAGAAAAGCATTTGATGTGCTAATGACTCATGTGTCCATCTTTTTGGAGAAAAATGGGAACTTTTTAACTGTTAAACTGTTTTTGGTGTGGCTTAGATGGTATGTTTTTTCATCAACATAATTTCTTTAACAATGGGGAGTGGGAGGATTCCACCATCTGTCCATTACGTGGGTTCCTCATACCTAAAATTGACCAGTCAGAGGTAAACATTTCATGCTGTTAGCTTGAATCTTTTGCACACCTCTGTTCTGGAGGTAAATGTGATAGAAAGGGTGAAGTTTATATAGGTAAGTTATAAAATTGCCAGTTATAGACACCATATTGTCCAGGCATTTTTACCTTAGATTTGTTCTCAAAGTAGTGTCTGCAAATTAAAATATTTAAACCTTTCAATATATTATCACTGATCTTTTACATCATGTGCTATTTCAACAAGATAGTTGCATGTAAATGGGATTATATGATTGTCAATTTTTCTTTTCTGTTTCTGGAATGTGGACATAGATACTAAATCTTCAGTATTACATGTTTTGTTCAGGCTACCTTATTTTAAGTGAAAGTTATATTTTATGGAGATGGTGTCCATTTTTAATTGGATCTCAGTCTTAGAAAGGTCTTAAAGGCAAGATTATGTTATCTTGCACATAAATAATTTCATTTTGAGTACTTCATTATTTCATTTTTGATATTCAGTCATGTGCAATTTCCTGAGACATCACAACTTCTACATGTGAGAATATGGAAATGTTATTAATAAATATGGTGTTTTGTTGAAACATCACAAGAAGTTTGGAATTTAATCACAAGCACCAATTTTTTTTAAATCTGAAATATTAGTTTCAGTATGTCATCTGGAGTATAATTTGGAAGAATGGTTCAAATGGTACAGGTTTTTGTGTATTTATTAAACCCATTCTTCAATTTAAATAAATCCTGCTGTTTGGCTCATTAATAAATATATACAATCGTGCTCAGTCCATAGCCGACTCCAAAGAGCATAGTTTTCTATACGAAGCTGACGGTACTCTCTGCCAAGAATTTACCTGCCCTTAATGGGACCAAAAGTTTCATTGGCATGTTCACAATGTCCAACTGCCAGCCAGATGAATCCAGTCCATACTCTCCCACCCTGTTTCCAGGAAATGTTGGTATTATTCTCCGAAGTTAAATTACATAGCATGTTAAAAAAATTCCCAGACTCAACTTAGACTAGCGAATCTTCTGCTGCCCACTATTCTGGGTGTGGTAGGTTACTGTGCTAAGGTTGAGCCCAGGAATTCTTTGACTGTAGCACTCCACTGTGCTAGTTTTATATTGTTATGTAGATTCACTCACTGAAACCTTTTCTAACAATTGTCTAGTTGGCTAAATTCTTGGGATACAGGAAGTACATAACCTTTTGGTGATGTGAGACACTAAAGTTTCTATCTGGCCTGACTCCTGGAATGGGCACCATCAACCCACCTACATTTATTTTAGCAGTTAATAGACAAGAAGCCTGAATTCAGAGTAAATGTTTATATTTCACATTATCTGTTCCCTTTCTTTATAACATCTTACTTCTTAATCTGGTCATAATGTATACAAATGTAAATGTTCTGTTTCAATAAAGTATTTTTAAAAACAATCACATTAATATTACCTATTTATTCCACATTCCTTCTTTATTATTTTGTAAGCTTCATTGGCCCTTATGTTTGGACACTGAAGATAATATATCTGTTGTTGCAGTAGAGGTATGCCATTACAGAGCCAGAAATTAATATGCTTTGTATCTTTTTAAATATTCACCATGCCTACCATTGGTAATTAATGGAATATAATTTTTGGCAACATTTTTAATTTTGTGCCTTATAAAAATAGTCAGTATGCTGTTCTGTGTCAACCTTCGTGTAAAAACTAGGTACAGTTTGTAGACTTTTTCCTTAAAATTGAGTAAGACTAATATCAAGGTTCAGAATTATTGATTGGTATGTTAAGAGTTAAAGAGCATAAACCTTGGGTTGTTGATGAATGCGTAAAATTATTAGATCAATGGAAACAAAATAAATTGCAAGTTGTAGAATCAAATCAAATGACTGGAAGTGTGAATTTTCAGGAGAAAGATAGGAAATATCTGAAAGATAAAATGAGCTTGAAACAAACCAAAAATTATGGATGTGTGGGGAGACAAATGGATTTAAGAAGTGTTGGCAATATTATAAAAATAGAGGGATTTTCGTCAATTATTTTATCAAGAGAAACACGTAATACTGTGAGTAAACGAACTGTACAGCATTACTGACATTATCGACTGAGTTACCGATACAAACAAAGCCTACGGACAAAAATTAGTTCTCACATATAAGACGGTGGCAGAACTGTCTACGAGTGGCACCGTGCTTCCACGAATGTTTAATTTGCTGTCACTTCTAACCTTAGATCGGTCAGATAGTCGTACAGATAACACAGAGATAATTTCTGTGAGATCGCTGGTGTATATCATTTGTTGCACAGCGGTTGAATGGTTAAATGTCGTTTTTGAAGACCTGTGTTGATATCTGATGGGACTTGTAGCCGCGTGTTCTTTGCCTAAGTGAAAAATTCTGTAGGTTTCTTTTTCGCTTTCCGATCGTTTTCAACCTACCTCACGTTTAGAATAGCTATGCTGAATTTGCCGCAATCACATTAGGTTAAGTATTTCGTTCCATCCATTAACTGTTCACCTCATAGAAATTGATATGTAATCAGTCTTGATATTTGGTTACATTAAACTACTTTGGATACTACGAGGAAAGTGTAAAACGTTACCATAAAAAAAGGCTGTTTTATTATTTGGATATTTGAACAATTTTCCTTCTGAGGCAGAACATTCTTTATTTTATTTGGCAGCCTCTCTGTCTTATCAGAATGATGTCAGAAAATACCTTAAGAACAGAAGTTTATCGCTGGATGAGATATTTTGTCAGTACAAAAGAATATGGGTAATTGATTTATTTCTTTCTGTCACAGAGTGCAAAAGATATGAATATGAATAACTCTCAAGATGCCAACACTTCAGCCAGTGTTTTTGAACATACTGCATCTGTTGGAGGAGAATTTTCTGACTGTCTTGCTCAGAATGAGGATAAAAGTATTCCAGAACAGACACCAGAAGACTCGGGCGACACGTTACAGCTGACAGCATTTTTCAGCAAAACAAATTCTTCAGAAATAAGCTCATCTGAAACTGAACAAATGCCAAAGAATTTACAGAAGAAAATAAAGAGAAAGAAAAGTCAAAACTCCAGGCAAATAAAAAAATGGTTGAAAGGGAAGACTGATAAAGCAGAACATGGAGAGAGTTCAACATATGCCTCAGAGAGAGAGAATTGTGATGATGAACACCCAGTTTTGTGTCACATTCATCCAATGTCCCATGGAGAGTCTGTCCTCAATAGTTCAATTTTGGATGAAATCCTGAGTGAGAAAAAGAGGGTAATTGTACTTTCTTATTTTGTGTGATAGCTTGAGCTAGTAAGGAAGATGGGGATGTATATGAAAATCTTACAATATCCAGCCACTCTTATAGAAACACAATTAGTATTTTGACCATGTTTATGTTGATTGCTTACTACTTTCCTTATATGATAGTAGAAATGACTGCTACACCAGAAAGGCAACAACTATACTAGACAGTTGGGCAATGGATATTAAGTGCCAAATGAGGTTTTCTGTATGGATAGGTGCCAGTACTTTAGTGTGACAAGTATGAAATGAGAGGGTTATATACCCTCCCACAAGGAAATACACAAGTATTTGCAAGTTAAATTATAAAGCTTATCATTAATAAATGAATTGAATTATCTGTTTTCCATCATTTCTGATTTCAGTTTTTGTTGTGTTTTTGTGTATTATGAAGAAAATGCAAAGTAAGGTATATCATTACATACCTTTTCACCAGAGAAAAGGGACCTAGTTCTATGTAAGGCAGTGTTGACACAAAGTTTATGTTTTCGATGCCATGTACACATTATCACAACCCAAAAGGCCTTAATCCACATATCTACTGCTGTAAAAACCTCAAACATTATATCAGGATTCAAACATGATGCTGAATGTTAGGAATCCAAATCACATAGTGTATGAGTAGATATGAATTAAGTGATTTACATATAGCAGGTATGTACAGTGCACGTAGCATAGTGAGGATACTGAAATCTAGGAGGCTGTGATGGGCTGGACATGGGGGGGTTTACATACAGGATTTTGGTAGGGAATCCATCTGGAAACTGACCACTGGCAGACCAAGAAGGTGATGGGAGGATGGTGTCAAGATGGATCTTAGGGAGGTGGGCTATGAGGATGACAAATGGATGGAATTGGCTCAGGATCGTGGCCTGCGGCAGGCTTTTGTATTGTCAGTGTTGAACCTGCAGGTTCTGTTACTGGGGAGTTAGTTAGGTATGTACAATGTGTAAATCAGTAACATGTCGTATCTAAATGGAGAACTTTATGTGTTCAGCAAGCTTAATAGACACAGGTCTCATTTATGTAGTGGCAGCTTGACTTTACAGGCTCCTCAGAATATTCAAGAATCCTTTGTAGTTTGTTCCAGTAAGTGGTCATCATTCATGCTTGATATATATGTGGCACTGGTTTTAAATAGTTTTCCAGATACCAGATTTTCTTACTGAAGTGAAGCTCACTGCTGCTCCATCTAGTTCTACCCTAGAGATTGTGTTGACATCCCCTACATACGTTTAAGAACGAATACTTGACCTTTTCATTACATCAGATGTAGCACAGTCCTCATCAGTTCAAACTTTAGATTGTATATTTAGAACGTTTTAGTAATTTCTTCAGTCACTTTACTTGGGTTTTGAATATAAATATGTATTTATAGCTGCGAAATATCCAATTTGCACATAACTTAAAAGTACCTAGATGATAATTCCATATTAATATTTAATATATGCTTTTCTTTATATTTCAGATCTTACTTGAATCTGCAGAAATGAGCGAGTTCTTACGAAATCGAATAAAGACATGATGCTTGCATTGATGTCACCAACATTCAATATATTTTGGCTGTATGTAATTATCATTCAGGATCATATTCTATGGGGTGTTTTCCAGTTCATTTGAATCTGACTGTTACAGAGCATTGTGCCGTGATTCAACAGGAATCTGGAGGTATGCCTGCTGTCATGGCTACCCCATCAGATCGAGGTAGTGACAGGGTTCTCTTCTTAATATCTCAGAGCAAAGTCATGTACTTGCCCATTTTCTAAATTGCACAAGTTTAAACATTAAAGGGTTAAATGTATCTCCATTATAATACCCAGATCACATAATTTAAATTCATGATATTCCTCCTTAATTTATGTAGAATTGTTAATTATATTAAAATCTTGTTCACAGATTATAACCTGAATTTAGAGATTGTGTACATATACCAGAATGTATGTAAGCCTTGTAAGCTTTTCTTTTCCTTCCCTCACTCACCAGAAAGTGGTTTCAATATGTCTCAACACTTAGAACAATTTAAAATATACACATATGTAGATTGACACTTCATAAGGATGCCAGACAACATTATTACTGCATACATAATAATTCATGCATTAACATTACAAGATGTTTTTATTGTAATTGAACAATTTTTAAATTATAAATAATTTAACTGTATCAGTATCATACTTTAATATAACCATGATTTTAGAGTAATTCTGACAAACTAGTATCCTACAGAGCTGATAATTACATTGGTTTTATTTAAATTTTAGTGTTCATGATGGACACAAAAGTCTGAAATATGTCACTTTAATGCTCTCATTAAGTGTGTAGAATAAATGTTCTATTTTGCTGAAGATTCTTGCATGCAGTTGCAAGATTTACACTAGCTGAAAGATAACAGGATGCATACCTACAAGCTGTACTATTCAAACCTAACCAGACTGTATGCATGTAGTAACTTGATAATATCTGTAAGGATTTTCATGAAGTTTGGTATGGTCTTCATGCCATAGAGGCCTTCTCAAACTTGTACTTTCAGCTTTTGACCCCCAGTTATACCAGTGTGATGGTTGCTTGAATTCACGAGGAACGTTGATGATGACGTTACCCATTATCCTCTGCACATGTGCTTCACTATAATTGACTTCACATAATCTAATTTGTGTGATTTGAGGTTTTCACAGTGGTAGGTATGAAGATTTCTGGGTTGTTGCCCTGTGTAGTATGGTAGATGTTTACCAATGGTTCAGAGGTCATATTGCCTCCGTCATCAGGGTGATGAATGTGCCAATTGGGTGGGTGGGCCTAGCTTAGTTAAATTTGATACTGACACTTCATTGATCAGTGCAGGCCAATAACTTGCCTATCATCATCCAACACTTAAAAAAAGAGCCTCAAGTGATATGCCCCTGATTTAAGCAATAAAGTGCAACAGGTAAATGAAAATGTTTCATTTGCTGGTTGTTTAATCCACGATATAAAACTGTTTAAGCCAGTGTTAAAAGATTATCTCCTATCTCACTCTTTCTACTCAGTAGAAGAATATATTAATACATGTAATAATGGTGATGGTTCTCATTATAATTATTTTGCTGTAGTTCCAAAAGTCTGTAAATATCTGTAATATCTTTGTAATTATATTTATACTAGAAACAAGTATTGTATTTGTGCTATGACCTGTTCTACATCCTTGGCTTAGGCTTGTAAAGGATCTATGGAATGTAAATAAATTCTATTCTATTACATTGGTTAGAGACGACGCATAAAGCATAGTAGGCAAGCTATTTCCAGTACCTATAAAACATTACTTTGCACTAATTTGGTTTATGGTGCAGCGATAAGGTAACCTGGAAAGTACTTAAGAAAATCTTAATACCCAACATATTGGATCATATACAGATGCAGTATACATGTGCAAGACTATGAAATGAAATTTATTTTCGTATTTGAATTCTGACATATTAGGTGATATCGTTGTGGGTAAGCTTCTTGCCTTGATGTTCGGTTGAGGTTGATCATCTGTGATGAAATCTACAATCGAACTTACGTTTTCATTTAATAACGAATGAGTTTCTAATATTAGTTTTAATCTGAGGTGCGGATTATCGATACCGTCTCGAATATTTGTAGTTACTGTGAGCAATGAAGTACCGGTGTTATTTTATACCTTCTTACTGCTAATTTGAGTTTTGAAGTAGAATATTGTACTAGTTATTAGGAAGAACGAAATTATTCGAGATTCCTGTGGGCGTAGGTAAGTTTCCTCCATATTCGGCATTTTGGCGGTTCAGAATGATGCATATCCAGACGTTATACACACACACACCCAGTGTATATCATACTGATTGTTTTTAGTATCTGTTACGGGACGCAGACGAATTATTTCAAACAAAGTTACTTGCATTTAATTTATAAACAGTGTGTAATAAATAGTACAGTGTATGTTGCCTGAATCTTTGGTTTGATTGGTCTGTTTGTTGGTTGTGGAAGCTTCTTGGGCCTTGTGATTTAATAATATTTGTGTGGTAAGGACTATAAAGTCTCTGTTGTATGAATTTTAAAACCGTAATCGTGAAAAATAATAATAAAGAAATGTATATTGATTACTGATGGTCTTGTAACGCACAGAACATCAGTAAGTATTTATCGGAACGAAGCAAGGAATATTGCCAAGGTACTCTATATTGCTGTTTTGCGTGTTTGCTTCGTATAAGAAGGATACCACACAAGCACTGTGACGTATTTGAGATTAGAATTGCCACAGACCTAAAGGTAGCGCTACATAATGTGTACTCTGCTCATAATCAGTAGTGTCATGTGTGTATTTACGTAATTTGACTAAAACAGAGTAATGTCGGTTTTGATCATGTGGGTAGTAATGCCCTGTGGACTTAAAGGGAAATACCAGTGTTTTGGAAGAACATACCACTCTAAAGATGGAGGCAGTATGATCCCCCTTAATGAATTTTATGAAGCAGTCCTTCAATTAATGAAATTCATCACCTTTTATGGAACCTGAAAGTTCATTACCAGGCATGCCAAGGTTCTGCATGTAATCTTTTACCTACAAGTTATCTTACTAAAATTTTGTATGCATTTCTCATCTCTCCTGTATGTGCAGCATTCATATTTTGGATAAATTGCACTGCACAGGAATGCTCCTATGATAAATGCCCTGACAGGTTATAATGTGCCCTTGTGTTTTTAAAGCCTGTTTTATTGTATCGGCCGTTTTGGTCATCTTTTAAGTCAGAGTGTCCACTGTCATGATAAGAATTATATTTTTAAGAGGATTGGAAAGACAGAAACCAAAATAAATACATTTTCTGAAGAATGACTATTTGTAAAATTGTTTAAGTAGCAGGACTGTAGTCCTGGTGCATTTTCTCATGAGTTACATGAGACTCATCAGGCTGGGCTTAAGAAATATATATATATATAGTTATATTTATAATTATTTCTGGACATCAAGGAGATCCTTAGTGTGGTGACATAGAAGCAGGATATTGAACCTGATGATGGCCACATTGGTTCAATACATGTTCAAGTGAACACAGTGTATGAAGAGTAATAGGCAGAAAAACCAAGAATTAATTGGTAGGAAAATGCTTGTGGGTCATGTAAAGCCATTGTAAACTAAGAATTTGGAATGGGGTGTATGTCAACCAAGTTTATTCTGTGAGGAGTCACAGAAGAAAAACCAAGAATTAATTGGTAGGAATTTCTTGTGGGTCATGTAAAGCCATTGCAGCCTAAAAATTTGGAATGGGATGTATGTCAACCAAGTTTATTCTGTGAGGAGTCACAGAAAAGAAGAAGGAAAACAAGTTGTCCTTGGCTTCTGACTTGTTTGAATGTGGTAATGACCTGAAAATCAAGTGATAGTGATTGCATTTAAATCAATATTCCTTGCTCCTACTACAAAAGTAGAATTATACTGAGTTTTTCTTTGATCATGAATGTGTTGTGCTCCATGGGTATGTTTCACAGTTGGCAATATTTTGTTGGCTTGCAACAGGATATTGTTCATTACAGATACACATGCCTTTTCTCAACAAGACTTACCACTTCTCTTCTCCCTGTGTCACATAAATGCAACTGACTGCAATATATGTACCTGTTTCTCTGTGTACCTAACTTCCTTACTCTGTAATCAGTCTGATATTGACATTCAAACCAAAGTGTGTTTGCAAACTATATGTTTATCATGAAAAAAAATTGTGCAGTAAAGACTTTAATTATAGAAGAGGCTGCTAGCATTGGTGAATCTGTTTTCCAAGTAAAAACCCAACTACCACCTGGAGGAGCAGTAGGTGGTTTCTTACTTAAGTAAGTTTTATTTATTAACACAAAAGTTGGTGTTTGTATTTTTACATTTTAGTATTCTATGGAATTGTCTGAAACAAAATGGCATGACTGTGATTATGATGCTTAATGTATATTTATATTACCACAGATGTTGGCAAATGACAGCTAGTGGAGGTGACAGTTTACTGGGGGATTCCCTTTGCAGTTAACCATATATCCTGGCAAACAAGGTAGTCTTTTAAGCTTAAGGATAATCCCCGAAAACAGGGGGTTGTCTTATACAGGAAGCATAAAATGTGAACCTTAATGCTGAAATGCTACTTGATGCAAAATTATCAGCAGTGGTAGCTTAAGTGGTTTTCTGTGATTTCTTAATAGTCATCTTATCTCGCAAATACAGCCCAAGACTTCTACTTTTCACTGAAAATTTGGAGTTGTCTTGTGCACCAAGTTATTTTATGTGCCAATATGTATGGGAAATTTATGTTCTGAGGCTTTTTTGGTATAATGTAAGCATTGTGGTTTATAGAGGAGCTCTGTGTAGGGGCCTGAATGTGCTTGTATGTTCTGCTGTCAACATTAAGATATTGCTTTTTAATTCTAGGTGAATTACAATGGGGGAAACAGATGGTGAGCAGTTTTCTTTACGGTGGAACAACTTCCATAATAACTTGACAGCTGGATTTCATGCGCTTCTGCAGGAAGAAGATCTGGTTGATGTCACACTTGCTGCTGGTGGGCAGTTTGTACATGCACATAAAATTGTCCTTTCAGTGTGCAGTCCATATTTCAAGGAACTTTTTAAAGTGAGTTAATGGAAATATTTATAAGGAATCATTACAGAATGAAGATCTCAGCCAAAATGATTTTTTCACTTTTCCATTCAGTGATTCTGAAGATATGTAGTAACCTGAACATAGTTTGTGGACCAATAAAATGCGCTGTCATGGACATGAATGGCAGGATTGTAGCTAGATTAATGTTCCAAAAATAATTTTACAAATTCATGTATTGCTCTGGTGTAAAATATGTATATGTATCGTTTCACATTGAAGTTTCATCTGAAAATAGTTGTATTATTTCTGAGTGATTCATAATACTATGGTATTGTCCATGAGGCACGAGAGAAGATTTGACATCTTTGAGGGAGGTGGGGTAGAATTCCGTGCTACTAGCGGACCAAAAAACACCCGCAGCTTATACAGGCCGTATGTTGTGAGCTAAGGTACTGACTGACTGACTGATAGCACAATGTTCTTAGGTAAGGAATACATCACTAGCGCATGCACACAACCCACTTTCCCCCTGCCACACAAGCAACAGCTGACAAGGCCACATCTACTTTCGTGCCTCACGGACAATACTACAAGAGGAAAAAATAAGTTAGTTCATTATACAACTTTGCATTGCATATTGCACATCCTTTACATTACAAAAGAATATTTTGCCGAGTGCCACTTTTAAGATCCAGGGCGATGATAATCGCTTGGATTGAGTTCTAGTGAGTAAGGCAGCGTGGAAGTTCTTCAGTGGTCAGTTCTTTGATTGCCGCAGTTTTCACATGAGACGTGTATGAATGTGTGATGATATGCTGTGAGATGACATCTTATGACAAAATCTGCATTGTTTTCACCAAATGACTAGCTTCAGATTCTTCGTCAGAAACCTCATACATTTTGCTGTTCATTGTGGATCTTTTCTGCAGAAAATCTGTTACTCTGATGCTGTTTGTCATACAAAACAGTTTAGGTAGGAAATGAAGGTTGTCTTGTGGCACAGACTGTCCAGAAGGCACTTTATGGCTTCAAGAAAGTTATTTGGCATGTAAAAATTTGTGAAAAGTATATGGACTAGAAAAAGTCCGGTTTGGTAACGTGATTCAAAGAACATACAAATGTAAGTACAATGATCTTTTGTGCTATGTTGGCATGAAAATTGGTGTGAATGGAACTGCCAAGGGCCTGTATGTAAAATTAAAGAACCTGAAAAAAGCGTATGTTGGAACACACATTATAATGAAATTGTGTTGACATTGTGGTTAGACTATAACCATAAAATTTATTGAGAGAGTAATGATTTCATTATTTTTGATGCTTACAGGTGAATCCCTGCAAGCATCCTATAGTGATCTTGAAGGATGTAGGTCACAAGGAACTGGTGGCTATCTTACAGTTTATGTACCAGGGAGAAGTCAATGTACAGCAAGAAGACCTGGCTACTTTCCTCAAGACAGCAGAATTGCTGCAGATCAAGGGACTTACTGAAAATGACTCACCAGCAACAGTGTGTATCTTGTTATTGTGTGTCCCTTTAATGCAACTGTTATTCATGCATATATGCATTTTAAAACACATACTTTCTTCCTTGTCTTTATATGTTATAAATGGGTAGTGTAATTTATCCACTATATGTAATGGATGGATTTATTTGTAATACGAGGTGCGTCCCAAAAGTAAGTTTCCCTGGGGCCGTTTAAGAAACAAAACACAATTTCATGGAAATATTTATTGCAACAGATACAGCAAGTGTCCAGCTATTTTTCAACATATTCGCCACCGGAATTGAGACATTTGTCATACCGTGGGACCAACTTTTGAATACCTGTGTCGTAGAAGTCTGCCGCCTGGGATTGGAACCACTGTGTGACAACCATCTCCGCCTCTCTTTCATTCTCAAAACGCTGACGCTGACGCTGACCGGACAGGAATTTCTTGAGGTGTAGGAAAAGATGGAAATCACTGGGAGCGAGGTCCGGGCTGTAGGGTGAATGATTAAACACCTCCCAGCTGAACTCCTGCAGGAGACTCGCTGTCCGTTGAGCCGTGTGCGGCCTAGCGTTATCACTGACCGCACTTCACAGTCGGCGGGAGCTGGAATAAGAATCTCCATCTTCAACAGCTGCAACGATGCTACTGTGAGAAGGCGGGAAGTGCCGTTAGTGCATGCGCCATGCTACGTCATTGCTCTATCACGTACGCACAGTCGCTTCGCTCAATATAAGGTTTGCTAGCTGTGGGACGAGTGGGAAACTTACTTTTGGGACGCGCCTCGTATTCCACTACTCTGTATGAACCCTTACTTTGTGTTGAAATCTTTATGAAAATAGTTTGATTTGTATTTCTGTGTGTGTGTATATAGTTTTGTTATGACTTATTATGCATTCTGGCGTCATCTGACTAATGTGTGGATCCATGGAATGTAATAAGTAAATATACATTCTACTCATATAATACCTACAATGTTGAAATTAAAATTTGCTTTTATCTATACCTCCCCTTGTTCACCAAAAGAAATATAAGCACTTTTTCTTATTTTCATACAGAATACACCACCATCAGTGCCTGACACATCAGAAACAACACCCGCATCAAGGACAACACAACCGTCGCTACCTGAACCACCTGTGGTGCAATCTGAAGATACCCCAGTGCATCCCTACAAACGGATGCGTTCTGAAACACCTGCACCTTCGTCAACATCAGTATCAAGTCCATGTACAGTGAATGAAGACACGGGTGGTGTAGAGATTGTGGAAATGTCAAAACCAAAAATAGAACCAGTAGATTATGAATCAGATTTAGAGGAAGTGGGCAGGTTGCCTAGTCATGATGACCCTTTGGCACAGTTGCTGGGAGGGGAGAGTAGCAGTCATTCTCATCAAGACTCTGCGCAAGGTTAGTAGACACTGGTGTGCATTTCTACACATATATATATAGATATGTATCTACTAAAGCTAAATTGTTGTGAGCATTGTGAGATTTTAAAGCTGTTAAGTGCTCTTCATGCTTTAGCATAAGTGGATGGTCTTATTTTTGAAGAAGCAACAATGTTCCATTTGTTGGGAATATTGGAAGTGCAAACAGGTTTAATTTGATACAAATACTTTGAAGTTGTTTCATGTGTATACTGAAAATTGTGTATGGTGTTGGATGTAGTAGTATGTAGTTATTTTCTGAGCTGTAGAATATATTTGAAAGATTCTGCATTTCAGAGGAGGGTTTTTGAAACCTTCATAGGAGAATGCATTTATATAAGAAGTTAAAGAGTTATGGCCATGTCCTTAATAGAAGTAAAGTTAATGTGAGGTTAGATTACTGAAGTGGAAAACTGCTTCGTATTAAAAACTGTGTGGTTTGTTACATGAAGTTACTAATTCATATGAAAATGTTTATGGAGAAACTGTGACCAATGGAAAACAAGTCATGATTCCTTCTGACCAGCTACTAATTTGTAGCCGTCATACATGTAGCTTCGGTCTTATTAACACCAGTGTCTCATATGGTAATGTGTATCAGGATATCAGAAAATAATCGTGATGTTACAGTCTACCTCATGAAGAGAAAATGTGTGTATGTTTGCATTTTTGATTATTTTCAGTTGTTTTTAGTGATGAATGATATTGTGGGAAAATGAAGGAAGTTGTTCACAAAACAAAGTAATTCAATAACTTAGGTTTGGGGAGTGCCTTCATTAGAACAGGATTGACAGATTATTTGTAGTGCAGCACCTGCTAGGGCTTCTGTGCAGTTGTATCTGAAGCAAAGGGGAAGAATAAACTTGGTTCTTGACTGACCTGACATGCGACAAGTGTGGTGAGATTTTTCCTTGGTCCTTGATATTGTAATGGGGGTGAAATAAGTGATTTTTATAATCGTAAGAAAATTTATGAATTCTTGGGTGTTTTTCTCTTTAAGATAAAAGTGTATTATGTCCTTGATTGTTTGGGCTAATGATGGTGGTTAGTGATGCTGAATAAACACATACAGTGAAACCTCGATGCATCGTTTTCGGCGGGGGTGGGAAATAAAAACGATGAATGCGGGAAAACGATAGATGCGGGAAAGCATTAAAATTTTTAAAAAAAACAATGTTTCTCTTTCAAAGTTACTTCTTTTTACCAAAAAAGTCTTTAATGGACAACTGGTTTGTCGAAACTTTACGTTTTAGACCAAACAGAGCACTTTCCACGTTCAAAATGTTTTCCTCGTCACGTTCACTAATACTATGCGCATAAAAGAACGACTTCACTTTCGCCAATGCAGCGTGCGCTTCGGCAAAACTCGGCAAAGCTTCGGGCTCGCATTCGTCGTCTCCCTCTTCCTCACCACTCCAACCCCCTTTGCGGACAATAACAGGAAGAATGGAAATACTATTACTGCC